TGTCATAAAACAACATGTGTACTACTGTTTCATGAGAAACTATTTGTTCTGTAAGCCTTCACCTGAAGTACAATAAAATATTAAAAAAAAAAAAAGAAATTGCTATTTGTGAGTTTTGGTTTAGTATCAAGATATAATATTAAAAATAATCTGAAAGCGCTTTTAAAATGCTCCTTACTTTTTCAAAATATCTGTCTATATGAGGTCACATTTGCTTCATATATTTCGATGAAAACAAAATTCCTATTGTAACAGAACAAATGAAGAAGCAGATAAATAATAATTAAGCTGACTTCTGTTAAGGCAGACATTAAAGAGATTTGTAAAAATGTAGAACAATGTCTCTCATCTCAATAATTTTATTTTGGCTTGTGGAAATAGCACACTTCCATAAAAATGTATTGTATTAATATATAAAGGACTTATTGTTAACAAATTAAATATTTTATACATATATCAGTTTTTCTTTCTAATATTATAAATATTAATAGATATTCTCAACATACTTTGGTATGTATTTTTCAACCATTATTCTCTTTGTAACGCTATGTTTCAATTAATATAAAAATACTCTGGCTTTAATACTTTCCAAGCCACCAGTTTTACTCTTACTAATCTCAGGTTGGCAAGTCTGCCCAATTCTTCTATGTATTTGAATTCAGTATGAAGTATCTATATTCGGGACAATTTGCAAGCTCTATCAAGTTGAGCACTTCTCAGAGTGTGGTTTTCTGCCCAAATACACACATACATAGACGGAGTGATGAAGAAGAATAAAGGTCTACGGGGTTCTGTGAAACTCTTGTTGAGGAATCACAGCTCTGGTGAAGCCAGCCGTGTCCTGCACCAAGTCCAGGCTTCCATGGAGTTGACTTTTTATCTCTACTCAACAAATACTGGGAGCTGTTCTGAGGACTTTCCTGTCTGTGTTGATAACCTGTGTATGAGGAAGTAGAGAAGAAACACCTATTCTTAAACTTTTATTTCTAGACTTTCCTCAGAGTTTCTCAGTCTCTCTTTCAGTCTGTTTCTCTCTAGATTCCAGCTATTAATAAGAACATTCAGATATACTTATCAGATAAGAGTATTGCCAAACTGGCTTCTTCCCTAAGAATTGCTTCTGAGAGGTGGTACCTAACATGCTGAGGGGCATCTCACATTACTGGTCACATTCCATGTGTGAAGAACTGTCCCAAGCACTTTTAGAGACTAAGAGTCACATTCTGCGTCACAATCTCTTTTGCTTTTACTTGCTTTTCTTTAAAAATCTATCATAGTATGTTACCCATTTCCTTTAATTTTCTCTATTTTCTGGTCAATTGTTGGTTTTAAAACTTTAGTAATTAATTTTAAACTGTGTATGATTTTCTCTCATGTCAGAATTTTACTCCCAAACCTTAAGAAAATATAATTTTATTATAGGGCTGCAACATTTTTTTGGATTTACTCTAATGCAAGTAAATTTATGAATTTCCAACCACCTAGGAAACATTTTTGCATACCTCTCTTTTGTTAAGTTTAACAACAAAATATTTGGTAATTTCATTGCTAAGAAACATTATTACAGATATAACTAATCTCAAGGATATGGCCAAAGAATCCTTAGGAATCACGAGTTAAGCAGAGTTGGCCTCTCTGGAGGCTCAAATCACCAGTTCCCCAGAGCTCATCAGAGGTATGACCTAGCTGTATCCTTTTTTAAAAAAAGCTATGTTTATAAGGAATTCAGAAGCAGACTTGTTGCTATGACTTAAAAAAATGTGAATCTCTCCGAGAAGTGACTCCTTCAATTTTACTTCGTTAAGAAAGAGGCAGGACCACGGATCTTTCGAGTCCAAGTTGTGCAAAACAAATATTCATGTTAGGGAAGATAAAAGTGTTACCTCGTTTCTCAGATAGTCTTGTGTATTTTAATTTATGTGTTTCTTTAAAATTACTAGTGAATAATTCATTGAAATAACACAGGTATGTATCAAGAATATTAGCATACTTCATGTTGTCTGCCCCATATGATGAATTTATGCTCATAAAATAGGCTGAACATTTCTGATTCTAGTATTTATTTCAGGTGGTATCTGAAGATCTGTGGATGAAACATAGTCTGGGCTCAAAAGATTGAAAGTATAACGACACAAAAATTTCCTAGGAAGTGAACTAGTACAGGTGTTATGCATGAACGATTTATTTAGCTAGATTTTAAATACTGACTCAGACATTTCTAGGCAGAAGAGAGTTATGCTGGCATTTCATAGAAATTGAAGAATTTAAGCAAAATCAGTCCTTAAAATATTAAAAGAAATGTTGAGAGGACTAGTATAGATTTTTACCATGAATAATTTCTGATATTTATTTTCTGGATATTATGAATCACCCATGCTCTATGCTGGTCATTTTATTATTTTATCTGTTTAACAATTGTTGAAGAATTAGCAATTTCACTTATGCTATTGCTGTCTACATTTTACAACTGTGAAGTCAATAATTTCTAAATACCACTGAGATAAGAAGGAGCAGGGAAAAAAACCCTGAACTCTGTCTTATGCTCAAGACTATTCATTTAGGCATCATGTTAAATTCTGAAGCAGAATATGTAATGTACTTTTTGCATAGGTAACTTAAGAATTTGTACAGACAAGGAGAAAGACGCAATTAGAAGCGATTGAAGACGGAAAACAAGACTTTAGAGGATCAACAGCTAATGTACGGTTTTGATAAGGTAAATTTTAAAAAACTTTAAGTCTGGTTTGCATTGGTAACCTACACCAAGGTTCAACACTATAAATTTAATCATGTGATTGAGTATTATTTTTTGATAGTTAATAAATTACCTGCTTAAAGGATTTTCTCTTCATCAGAAAAATGAAGATGAGAAACCACACAAAAACCCAAAGGCTTGAAATAAAAAAAAAATTAGCATATAATATTATGCAAAAAAACTGAAAAGTCATATAAATATAACAAATGTAATTTTGTATTTTGTAATTTTGTATTATTGATCTTATTAATCATATAAAATGGTTGAAAAATTATAAAATATTTTATAATGACAGATGGATTATATTTAAATAAAATATTAACAAAAGTGGCAATTTTAACATTTTTAAAGTTTTAACACCTAGATCCTAGGTGTGCCACAGATGAAAATTAAATAGTACTGAAATTGGACTGCTCTAAAATAATTAATTTTAGCAATTAAAGAATAATTAACACCAGAAAAGGATTTCCTTGTAATTTGAAACACTTCAAGACATGCACAAGTAAAGAAATTGGAGTAGTTATTTTTGTACGGGAAGTTTTTGAGCAAAGCTACAGATGCATGTAGCGGAGAGATCTGGACAGAGTGTTAGTACTTCATTAATTATTGGAATGCATGCCTGACAGAAGGAAGGCTGCTTTGTGAAGGAGTAGTCTCAGGTAAGATTTTTTCTTATTGTGCTATGCGCAGGTGAGGAGGTAAGTAGAGTGGCAGCAAGGGAGTTCAGGGTGCACTACCAACAGGAAAATGACACTGATTAGATTCTGAATCAAATCAAACCTTTTATAGACGATGCTGCAAAGAAAGAAAAAGACCATACATTTGTATTCTAGAGAAAGTGAAATGAAAGAATGGTGAACCCTAACCTACGTGGTTTCATGTAGTTGAATACCATTCTTAGGAGAAGCTCAGAGCCATTGATTAACTTTGTCACAGAAACACTTTCCAGGTCGCTGTCGCAAGAAGGAGGACGTCAGAAGCCATCCTAATTCCCTGGCACATGAAGAGAATCAGTAAAAGCTGTGGAGTGGTCAAACCCAGGGGGCTGACATTGAAGGTCTCTTACAGAGCATTGTGAGATGGCCGCTTGATATTGAAGAAAATGAGAAAATAATCACAGGTTGTGTCTAGGCATAGTTTAAAAAGTTATTTTGCAAAAACAGTATAAATGGGACTTAATACCTGAAATGTTGTTAGTTCTTCATTTCATTTTAAACTCTTTCAGGGCTTAGATTCTCTGATCTTATTCATGCTGAAGTTACATCTCCGGAGAATTGGGAAAAAACTTCAAAGAAAAATATGTACACTTACTGACTTGCCCATCCTGACCTCTTGGTTAGATGCCACCGTGGCTGCATTTTATTTGTAGGTATTGTGGATTGTCTGACTTCGGGTTTTTAACATCCTTTTACCACTTTATTCTTTGACTCCAGGGAGACTGCAGCACATTAGCAAACATGGGCAACCTCACTATTATCACAGAATTCCTCCTCATGGATATCTCAAGCTCCCGGGAGCTCCAAGTCTTACAAGGTCTGCTGTTCTTAGTGATTTATCTGGGAGCCCTGGCTGGAAATCTTCTGACGATTATAGTCATTGTGACAGACCCACATCTTCGCTTTCCGATGTACTTCTTTATAGGCAACTTAGCCTTCATAGATCTTTGCTGTATTTCAGCTAGTGTTCCCAAATCAATAGTGAATTCCCTGACAGGTAGAAAATCAATCTCACTCAAAGAATGTGCTGCTCAGATTTTCCTGTTTATTTTCTTTGCATCTATAGAGCTTGCTTTTCTTGCAGTAATGTCCTATGACCGCTATGCTGCCATCTGTCACCCCCTGCACTATAGGCTCACTGTCACCCCACATATGTGTGCACAGGCAGTAGGGGGCTCATGGGCCAGTGGGTTGCTCTATTCTGCCATCCATACAGTCACCATGTTCAGACTTCACTTCACAAAATCCAATGTGATCCATCAATATTTCTGTGATATACCTCAAATTTTGAGGCTGTCATCTTCAGATGTTCAGTTTTCTGAATCTGTGCTCCTAGCAGTAAGTGCTGGCATTGTCTTAGTGTGTTTTTCCTTCATGTTTATGTTGTATATTAAGATATTTTCAAGTGTGCTTCAGATCCGCTCTGCAGAAGCCCGTGACAAAGCCTTATCCACTTGTACCCCACAGTTGGCTATTCTTCTTTTGTTTGTAATTTCTGGGTTAACTGCTGCTTTAGGTCCTATTGCAAATAAGGCATCTCTTAAAAATCTTCTGACAGCTATGTTCTACACCACGCTGCCCCCCTTTATAAATCCCCTCATCTATAGTCTGCGGAACAGAGAGATTAACAGTGCTCTTCGCAGAATGCACAGAAGATACTTTGAGTTCCCAAGCAGGGCTTTACTTGATTAAAATGCTTACAAATAAGAAAATTTGAAAGAAATTTAATTTATATTTTCTATATGTTCTTAAATTTTAATCTTTCCCTGTAAAATATCTAGTATTTAGTTGTGTGTTTTTATTTTTGTTGCTTACATGTGATTATGAGTTATAAATCTCTGTGTCTTAGTTTTTCTTTCAAAACAAAACAAACCAGTTGCCTTTGGAGTCACATCCAACTAACGGACACCTCATTTATGTCAGAGTAGAACTGGGCTCCATTACTTCATAACTAGATCAATGGGAATTTCTTCCTAGGTAACTCTAAGTGGAGAGGAACCACCAAACTTTTGGAGCACCACCCAGGGACTCCTAATTTTTCTTTTCATGTCTATATTTGTATAATTTATGCATATTTATTGAAAGGACTAGAAATCTGACCCACATTGTCCAAATGTACTTGAAAATATTTGTCATGGTTTTGAACTATGAACAAAGGATAACATCATTCAGAGAAATCATACACTGTGCGTTAGTACCTTACCAGGCGCTTACACACTTGAAAGTATTTCATGTGACTGGACACTGCCAACCTGGAAGACAAAGTTAAGTGATTTGCAATAGAGAAGACTACTGTTTAATTTACTCTTTTTCCTTAACCCTTAGAGGAATGCCTTGGCTAAGTAATAAAATGATTACAAGTTAGGGACAACTGAGGAATTAAAGACATAATCGGGAGATAGCACTGACAGCCTCTGCTAAAGTTGGAACCCTCAGTGAAAAGGTGGACTGCAAAAACATGGACTTTCAACACAGAATATGGTTTGGCAGCTTTTGATCTCTCTCTGAGCTCTAGATGAGAAGATGTATGCCATGCTCAATACATTCAAATTTTTTCATGATGCAGATCAAGGAATCAGTATACAGAGTGAAGTGAGATGCAGCAGTAAATATATTAGAATTTATCTGTGGAATACCAGATATTGTTTGTACTATATGATACACATGGCCCCCCCACATAGGACATAAAAGCTTATCTTTCAAGATGGAAAGTTTTATTTTTATAATTCCCAAGTGCTGAGCCTGCATGAGGAGGGCGAAAGTTTAATAAAAATTAAAATTTTTATATCTCATAATTTAATCCCAGGAAGACTGCCTTTATAGTTTAGAAGCCCTATCTAGAAAAGGCTCAGCATTTAGGAATTTATGCTCATTGAACTTCAGCCTGGTATTGGTACAACTAACACATCAGACTCATTATGACTCAGTATGTATTATTCACTGTAGAATTCAGTAGTACATGGACATCATGCATCTCATGTCATATAAAAATAATAATTCTTGCAAATATCTGAACTTCTGTAATACTCCACCAATGCCTGAAGTATATCCTTAAATTTTCAAAATTTTGATAACTGAAGACTCTATCCAATTTCTTTTTAAAATTTATTTGTTCCCACCTGGGTCATCTGCATAGCTGTCTCCTGGAAAGAAGACATCACTACCCAATTATATATTCAAGAAATACTCGCGCACAGGTTGGAAATTACATTTCTGAGTCTTTGCGTCTGTGCATATGACTCTGTGTTGCCCTTGTCTTGCTTTATATTTTAATTTACATTTATGTATAGAATTTCTGTCCAGGGTTATTCTACTCCAGATATTTGAATACCTAGATCCATTTGTTTCTAATCCACAGTCTTCCTGACAAAAATCGGATGTCTTTCAGATTCTTCTTCATTTTGATTTTTTATTATTTTAATTTAAGGATTTCTGAAATTCTACATTGTTATTTCTGAGTGTGTGTTTTTAATTAACATGTCTGTCATAAGGTGCTATTTCAATTATGAAACTTAAGACTTTCTTCGACAGGAAAAGTTTTCCCTAATTTTATTTTTGTAAATTTTTATCTCCAATTTAATTTTTCTCTCATACTTAGAATGATGATTTATTTATTCCATGTACTCAAACTATTTGTATTTTAATTCTATTTTATTAGTAATGTTCTTCAAGATCTCTTCATACACTTTTAATGATTTTTTTCATGTTTGAAATTATGTATATAACACATATATAATTTTCCTTAGCACTCCAGTTTTCTTTGGTTTGTGATTTATATGTCTCATAACAAGATATGGTTGCAAAACCATCTTTTATCTCCGTGTATACTAACTAGAGGTTTTAAAATGTTTCACTGTCCCCCTACTTATCTTAGTATATTGGATTCGTTAAAAATATTTGCATATCTTTTATTTTTCATTTAAATTCTGATTTCTTTTTTTTATTCTGAGTGATGTCTGTTCACAATTTTGAATGCAATTGAAAGCTGATTAGGAACTCTTTACCTTGAAGCTAATTGCTTAAACAGCTTATGTTTGATGATGTGTAGGTGTGGAGCAGTTCATGATTTTAGGAATCCTCGCAGTGCCACATTGCAGAACTCTTTGCTCTCAGTTTTCCGTGCACATAAAACTGCCCATGGTCCCTTTATTTGTTCAGTTTCTGTTTCAATGGAGAAGAACCCCAGATATTTTTTGATCTTCCCAAGGCAGCCTATTGAGTGTTCTGGGTGTTGGCATGGTGAGGCTAAGGGAGTTTTCTTAGTAAAATCGCAATCAATGCACCAGGAGTCATCATTACATGACCTTTCTCTATCCCATAGGCTCCATATTTTCAATTCTAAGATGCCCAAAGGCATTTGTATCTCTTTCTGCTTCCATATATACCTAAGACCTCCTTCCATTCATCAGACACTAATTTTCATGTCTCTTCCAAAATTTACTAAGATCAATTCACGAGTACCTTTCCATTGCTTCATTGCTGGGTTCATAACTTTTGTTTTCCTTTACAATTCTTTTAATGATGTCTCGATAAGACAAAAATGTATTTGTCTTGGACTAGAAGTCAATTGAAGATTGTAAGCTGCTATACGTGAAGATGCTTGCATTTCAAATTAAAAAATAAATTCTTCTTGAACAGACGAGCACATGGTTAGAACGTGATGTAATTTCAGTCAACTGATTGCCAGAGAAACTCAGTTCCTACTGCGGAAATCTCTAGCGAATTTAAAATATGATTTCTCTGATAATTAATATTTGTATTGTCAAGTATCAGGAATAATTATGCATAAGGTGATCCAAAGCAAATAGATATTTATGAAGTTTACGTGATGAGGTGGTCATAAGTGATATTGGGATTTTATTCCACTTACTTGGATTAGTATCAAGTTGGTATGAAAGAATTTTCTTCTTCTGCTTGTCCATCATGTTCAGTACTGGATTCTTGTAATATGTTGTTCTATCATGAACTAATGAGAATAAAACAAATGTACTTCCTCTCCTGAGTTAGATTAACCAGTTAAAGTAAAGGTGACATACACTAACATAAAGGAATTTGCAAAACTGAGAGGAGCAGAAAGAGGCACTCTTAGGGAAAAGCATACATGTTAAGAAGAAAGATAATAAAGGGTAGAAAATGGAAATTTCCACATGCTGGCTCTTTGAAAAATATGGATATTATTGTGCTTCTGTGGCAAGTAGGCAAAATGTTCTATTTAGTGAAAAGTTTTTCATTCTCCACCTGCTACTTGTTATCCCCTTTAAATATTCTAATTCTTTAGTAAAACTTGATAAATCCCATGGTCCTTCATCCCCTACACAGGTGATGCTTAATAAGAAGGGAAATTGTTTATTTCTTGGACAGGTAAATGTATAATTTCCATTCTATGAACAGTGTCTGTTAAAAGGAACATAACCTTAACTTCAAAACTAATACAATCAATCCTGATCTTGAAGGCAAAATAAACAGTATGAATGTCACTGAAGCATTCTTATTTTTAAAAATCAGCTCTGTAAAGAATGTGAATTTTAAAGGATCAGATATGTGAGAAATTTTTATCAATTATGTATGTATATGTATGTTCATACGTATGTATTTTAAAAGCAATTCAATGGAAATGATTATGTGAAATTCTGTAGATAAATTTTTTTTTTAATTTTGACTAACAGTTGTTTATTTAGTTCGTTAAGTGTGCCTTTACTATATTATGAAATACAGAATATAGAAATCAAGTTTAATAGTGCTACATTTTTTCATTTTCAGAACATATGAAATCACATAAATTGATGTTGCTCTTAGGTGCCACTGAGTTGGTTCTGACTCATAGTAACTCTATATACAACAGAATGAAACACTGCCCAGTCTTGTGCCATCCTAACAATCGTTGTTTGAGCCCATTGTTGTAGCCACTGTGTCAACCCATCTTGGTGAGGGTCTTCTTCTTTTTTGCTGACCCAAGCATGATGTCCTTCTCCAGGGACTGGTTCCTTCCTGACAACATGTCTAAAGTATGTGAGGCAGAGTTTCACCATCCTGACTTCTGAGGAGCATTCTGTCTGTACTTCTTCCAAGACAGATTTGTTTGCTCTTCGGACAATCCATGGTGTATTCAATATTCTTTACCAATACCATAATTCAAAGGCATCAATTCTTCTTTGGTCTTATTTATTGATCAGCTTTGGCATGCATATGAGGTGACTGAAAATACTATGGCTTGAGTCAGACACACTTTAGTCCTTAAAGTGACTTCTTTGGTTTTCAACACTTTAAAGAAGTCTTTTGCAGCAGATTTGCCCAGTGCAACACTTCATTTGACTTCTTGACTGCTGCTGCCATGGGCTTTGATTGTGGATCCACGTAAAATGAAACTCTTGATAATTTTAATCTTTTTCTCCATTTATCATGCTATTGCTTATTGGTCCAGTTGTGAGGAGTTTTGTTTTCTTTATGCTGAGGTTCAATGCATACTGAAGGCTATAGTCTTTGATCTTCATCATAGTGCTTTAGGTCCACTTCACTTTCTGCAAGCAAGGTTGTGTCATCTGCAAATCACCAGTTCTTAATGAGTCTTCCTCCCATCCTGATGCTGCATTCTTCTTCATATAATCCATCTTCTCAGATTATTTGCTCAGCATACAGATTGAATAAGTATGATGAGAAGATACAGCCCAGATGCACACTTTTTATGACTTCAA